GCCACAAGCTTCGTTCGAGCTTCAACGCTAAGCCGGACTCTTCTAGCATCCTTATTCCTTGTCCAGCTCTGAGATGAATGATCTGATAATGTAAAACTATATAAATGTGAGTTCTTTGTGGCCCACCAAAGGGACTACTTAGTACCAATAAAATAAAGTACTTAGCATCCATTAGGGAGAGACCCTGACAATGAGCTATAAAGGGTGCTAATGTGGAGATCCGTCAGATTCATCATTCTGCTAGCTTCAAGGAGCCTCTTCAGAGGGGGGTGAATGGGAATCTGAGCTCTCATCCAGAGGAGCCAAAGGGCAGCACTGATCCATGGTGCCCAAGATAAGCTCCTTCAGACCTGAATTTAATTGTGGAATCTAGAGACGTCCCTGGACAAGCGTTTGGCAGGACTACAGGAGCCCTGTAACACTGGTTACAAAGCTTACAGAGCAGAGGACAAGAGACTGAGGATCAGAGAAAGGCCCACGAGGGAGAACATATGAGAAGAGATGACCCTAACTGAATAACTGGATCCTGAATGTTCCTGAACCGGAACACTGGCTCCCTGCTGGTGAGTGCCATCGAGCTGGACCAGAACCATAGCTCACTCTCTATGTGTTTTCAGAAGCAGTAAATGTCATGGGGAGGAGACTACAGATTGCCCATCTGTCACTTCTGAGCCCCATGGACACCCAATGCTTTTCGCACCTGAGAAATGAAAAGGCAGCAGGAGAGTGTCCTCAACGATGGACATCAGGTGGGTGTGGATCTCCAGCATCACGTCCCAGTACAGGGCCTTCTGTTCAGGGTCCAGGAGCTGCCACTCCTCCCAGGTGAACCGCACAGTCACATCGTCCAAAGTCAGTGACCCCTGCAACATAATGATCCTGTTTCAGAAGGTATTATCCATTTGACGGTATCAATGAAATGTGAGGGAAGTTGCTGCATTGATACAAGTAGATGTTTTATAAATTTTTCTATCTCTGTCTCTCACAGATGGTTTTAAATTTTTTTTTTTAATTTTTATTACTTTTGTGTGCATCCCGTCAAATTGGATTTGACTGGAACAGGAGATTGTTCCTCCTTCTCCAGCAGAGCATCTGGAGAATTCGAACCACGCACTTCTGGGATTGCAGTGCAGCTTCTTGCCACTAGGCCACTAGAGCTCGCCAGTTTAAAAAAATTTATATCTCTGTTTCACATATATGTTGTTCTTGCTGTTATGTGCTGCCAAGTCTCCTGTGACTCAGAGCGACCCTATTCACAACCGCCCTAAACCCTGCTCTATCCTGTGCCAATCTTATTGTCTCCGACACACCTACCCCCATTACCCCAGTCAGTGAATCAATCCACCTCAGAGAGGGTCTCCTCTCCTACGCTGTCCCTCCACCCTCCCAAGCATGATATTCCTCTCCAAGGACTGATCCCACCTTGCAACATGTCCAAAGCATGTCAGATGAAGCCCCAGAATCCTTGCCTCCAAGGAGCAGCCCGGCTTCACTCTCTCTAAGGCAAACTGGTTTTTTTCTCTTAACAGTCCATGGTACATCCAATACTCTTCTCCAGCATCACAACTCAATAGCATCAATTCACCTTTTATCATCCCTGGTCATTGTCCAGCTTTCTGTTTCATAGCAAGTGACTGCAAAGAACATGGCCTGGATCAGGCGCACCTTAGTCTCCAGACTCACATCGTTACTCTTCAGTACTTTGGAGAGGTCTCTGACAGTAGACTTTCCCAGTGGAATTAACGTTTTAATTTCCTGGATGTTGGTACCAAAAGTGTTGATTGTAGAGTGAAGCAAAGTGAATCTGTTGACAGTCTCAGTATCTTTAGCATCCTTCATGATACTGCCAGTCAGCCCAGTGTTGAGAATCTTTTTCTTGATGTTGAGCATCAATCCATATTGAAGGCTGCAGTCCTCAACCTTCTGCAGCCAGCACTTGAGGTCCTCATCAGTTTCAGAAAGCAGGGTAGTGTCACCTGCATTAACACAGACAGTAGATGAGTCTACCTCCAATCCTGATGCCACATTTCTCCTGGGAGAGCCCAGCCTCCTGGATAATCTGTTCTGCATACAGATTGAAAATATATGGAGATATGACACATCCTTGTTGTACCCCTTCCCAATTTTGAACCATGCAGTATTTTCTGTCTCTGTTCTGAGGATAGCTTCCTGGTCCAAGAATAGGTTTTGCATAAGCACACTCAAGTGTTCTGGGATTCCCATTCTTCTCAGAGTTAGCCACAGATTATTGTGATCCACAGTCAAATGCCTTTGCATAGTCAATGAAACACAGACATACATTCCTCTGGTACTCTCTGCTTTCAGCCAAGATACATGTGATATTAGCTATAATATCTCCAGTACCACGGCTTCTTCTAAACCCATCCTGCACTTCAGGCAGTTCTTTGTTGAGGTGTCGTTCCAGTCGTTTTTGGATGATCTTCAGCAGAATCTTGCTTGCATGTGATATCAATGATACGATTCAATAATTTCTGCACTCTGTCGCATCACCCTTCTTTAGAATGGGAACAAATATACATCTTTTCCAGTCAGTTGGCCAGGTGGCTGTCCTCCAGATTTCTTGGCACAGGTTGGTGAGCACATCAAGGGATGCATCTGTTTGTTAAAATATGTCAACTGGGGGGAGGGTTGGGAGGGGAAGAAAGGACAACAATGAATAAATGGAAATCCAAAGTCTCTGTAAATTTT